GCACCCCAATCCTTAGGATATGGGGAACAAGAACCCCAATCCTTAGGATATGGGGAAAAAGAGAGAGAGAGAGAGAGAGAAGACGGCACGGCAAGGTGCAACACTGACGCTCAGGTGTTCAGGTACCGGAGGTTGGAGGGGGCAGCGGTCGCCTGTAGAGTCAGACGGCTTAGATGGCACCAGCACTGGGCGATGCATCCCAAGGAACGCGGATCGGCAGTGGCCGCAGTATTCGGCGCACCACAATTAGACGACAGTCAGGGAGTGCAGCGACTCAGGGGCGGTGGATGGGTGGGCGCTAGTTATACCCCTTGGGCCCGCCAGTATCTAGAAGACCTCCAGGAACTTGCAAAGGTCGACGAGAGCATGGGGTGGTTCGAGACGAGGAGCTCGGATATAGTCTTACTACAGCAGGGAGCCCCAGAGCGCCCCGACTGGCTCCAGACGGACCCGAGGGCACTTTGCAGTCACGAGCGACATTGGGGCGTTCGTACTAGGAGGGAGGGGGCGCGGGGTGAGGAGGGTGAGGGGGAACTATTGAAACCGCACTGGTGTGATCACGTTACACAAGACGAACGGGGACGGGAGATGGCATGCGTGCACATATGTCCTGCCTATGCAGCGCTGGCTGGGCGTCGCCGAGAGACGCGCAGCGGGCGACCGCTGGTGGCGTCCGTAATCGTCACTAGCCAGTGCCCACGGTGCTGCAGCACGTTTGCCGACCGACGTGCAGCGGTGGACCGCTGCGCGCGAGCGGTACATCATCGCGGCATATGTCACAAGGATCGCTCCAGATGGTCCCGCGAAGTGCGTGAGCCCAACGCACTCATTTGTCGAATATGTAAACATGGGGCTCAAACACTTGCGGAGCTTCGGCAACGCGTCAGGGGCCACGTCGCAGGGCCAGACCAGATCCGAGAGCCCAGAGGCGAATCAGCACACAGCATCCACACTTCCTTCCGGCATGGGAGCCCAGGGCACTACGCGGCGGGCTGAGGGAAAGCAAGGGGCAGGAGGGCCGGACCCAGGAGCAATAGTCCGAGGTACCAAGGCGGCGAACTCGGGGCAGGGCAAGGGCAGCAGCGGCGGCAAACCCCCTGGCGGGGGAGGGGGGGGCGGCGGATTGACGGCGGAGCACAGAGACGCGATGAAAGCCCCCCCCCAGAAGCTAGCCCTCTAGAACAGCGCGGCGATCAGGGAACTGAGCAACGTCGCAGGCGACTTCTGGCTGGTCTGCCTCGCGAACGACGCCGCCCAGTCCAGCCCGGCCTCGCGACGGGGCGCGAATGCGGGCGCATGGCCAAAGAGCACGGCAAGGGCCGCAAACTAGGACCACGGCGTGGAGACACTGAGCAGCAAGTCATGTGGAAGGCCTGATCGAGAAGACGACCGACGAAGCAGCCTCCCTTCCAGTCCATATGAAGCCAGTCCTGGCCGCGCTGAAGGAGTTCACGACGACGGTGAGCGGCGCGTGGGGGATGCAAGTCATGACCGAAATCTTCGCGCAGTTCAAGGTGCAGCCGCCATGCCAGAGCGAGGAGGCGATGGGCGGCAGCGATCGGACGGCGAAATTTGCGCTCGTCAACGCCAGCCCGTGCTGCAGGGCGGCGCCCCACAAGAGACGACGAGGGCCAGATTCAGGCGTTGCTAGAATTTCAGGCGGCGATGTTCAAGCAGGCGATCAACGCATAGCCCACCAGGGCGGGGCGAAGAGCATCGGGGGGGCCCAAAACGGGGCTCGAGAGAGCCATCGAGCGCCAACTCAACAAGAAGCGTTGAGATCGGACCACGCAGAGGACCAGAGGCCCCAGTCCTACGCCGCAGCCCGCCATAGCCCACAGCTGCTGCAGGCCCCGCGATGTCCAACAGCGTCAGCCCCGCTCGCCGGCCACCAGCAGCGCCGCCAGAGACGAAAGAGGAAAACAGAGCAATGGAAATTAGTCAAGACCGATTACGATTCCAGGACCTGAAGAACAGAGCACAGCAACACGGTGGGTTCATGGGTAATCCAGTACGCATTGCCAACTACTGCAGGGACATGCGCTCTAGGGGCTATTGCGCAGCGACGCAGTAACCGACGGGGGGGGGGGGGGGCTTCTACTACCCCCCCTGCTATTCGACGAGAGCCAACTCTCGCCCTTCCCCCCGGCCCGCCCCCGCACGCTGCAGACGCCAAATGCTCCCAGAGGCCCCTGGGGCAAGTCGCACAGTCAGGGACGACGCTGCTATGTGCGACCATTTACGGTGGACTGTGGTAATTGGATGTGCAATACGAGTACTACACCACGGCAGACAGTCAGACTAAGGAAACCACTGCAACAGAAAGAACTGAGCTCACTAATGTCACTGAGGTAACTACGACCACGGTCACCACTACGGTCCCTGTGCGTAGCTCTTCCGGCTCCAACGTCACTGAGCCGTTCCAGGACAGCGACGCGCAGGGCCACCCCCAACAGCGATGGACAGCCCGACGGGCAGCCGACATATGGAGGGCGCGGGCATCGTCAGCGCCGAGGAGAGCGATAACCAGCAGCTCCGACAGCAGCGGCAGCAGCCACTTCCTCCACCAGTTCTCGCGCAGCGCCCTCAGTGCCGCGGAGGACAGGGCGAGCAGGTAGTCGGCAGCATGGAGCATCGCCTTAACATCGCGCACTCCAGTATGCAAGCCACCAGCTAGATCTTCAAGCAGTGCAACGACCCCGTCCAGACGACGATCACCGTGCTCCAGCGTCAGCAGGAGAGGCTCACCGCCAGTCGTGGACGGCTGAAGTGCTCTCGCAGCGAGAACGTGCACGAGGAGATGGAGCGAATCCAAGGCGTCGAGATCATGACTCACCAGCTGCAGGAAATCGAGCATGCGACCCAGGTCGGCGCAGAGTTGAAGGACTGCGCGGAAGATGCTCCGAGGCTCATGAAAGGCCCATTCCCATGGGAAACGGACTACGGCCGCAAGGAGGACGACGAGCTCGAAGGATGCTACACGAAATGGTCGAAGAGCAAGCACGGGTTCGGATGCGACAACGCCGACGAGAGACAGCATCCCGTCCCTCTGACGCCAGCGGGAACCGCTCGCCAGAGGCGTGCGTCGTGCCACCTGCCGTCGGCCTCAGTGCAGGGGTGGAAGACCCACTACGTGCTGATGGAGGCGCCGATCACCAACAGGGTGAGCGGCGACGCCAGGCTCACGAGCGAGGAAGTGGCCACTGAGGCGGGTTGGGGGCTCGGCGCAACAGAGCTAAAGTGAGTGGCGTACGCGCAGAGGTAGCAGCCAGCTCCTCGACAATCGACTATCGACGCAGCCTGCCTAGCCTTTCCCAGCCGCGGCCAGTGCGGCGCAGCACTTACATATTCAAGCAGCAGCAGAGATATCGATATATATATATATATATATATGTATATATAGAGAGAGAGAGAGAGAGAGAGAGAGAGAGAGAGAGAGAGAGAGAAAGAGAGAGAGCGGGCTCGATCATCAAGTGCCAGGCCGCCTCTCCCCCCTTCTTCTTTCTTGCCTCGTTGCAGCCGAGCTTGCTTGCGCTCGCCTCCTGGGCGAACCTCGCACCCTTCGAATTGATGGAGGCGCCGACCGCCAACAGAGTGAGCGGAGCGGAGATGCCAGGCTCGCGAAGACAGTCGCCTCTAAGAATGGCCGAGGGTTCGGCGTCTCAGAGATAGAGTGAACGGTGCAGCACAGAGATCGCAGCCAGCTCCGTGACAATCGCGTCCTTGATGCAGCCTGCTATGCCGTCTCAGCCGCGTAGCGGAGTGCGGCGCATTCGCGCCAGCAGCAGCAGGGATATCGGGGAGCGCGGGAGAGAGAGAGAGAGAGAGAGAGAGATAGAGAAAACAAAAAAAAGAGCCGGCGAGATCAACAAGCATCAGGCCGCCTCCTTTTTTTTGCTTTGTTGCAGGGGGGGGCAGGGGGAGGGGTGGGGGGGGTGGGGGCCCTCTGAGCTCGCCGCCCGCCAGTCGAGGCAGCGGCAGGCTCCTGTCTTCTCCCCGCAACTGTTCCACGGTGCAGGGGGCCCTGCAGCGGGGCAGCGACGCGGGGGGCCCGCGTAGGCAGCCCCCCGCATCGCCTCCCCCCAGGCAGTTCCTCGGGCCGACGAAGGACGACTAGAGGGGCTGCTTCCATATGATTCCCAGGGGCCCTCCCAAGTTTCATTAGAGGCTTGAGCCCATGGACCTCCGAGGGCTTCCTCCTCCTCCTCCTCCTCCTCCTCCTCTCCTCTCCTCCTCCTCCTCCTCCTCCTCCCTCCTCCTCTCCCCCTTTTCTTCTTCCTCTTCTCCTCTCCCTCCTCCTCCCCTTCTCCTCCCCTCCTCCTCGTCCTCCTCCTCCTCTCCTCTCCTCCTCCTCCTCCTCCTCCTCCTCCTCCTCCTCCTCCTCCTCCTCCTCCTCCTCCTCGTCCTCCTTTTCCGCACCCCCTGCTGCTCCTGCAGGCCAGCCGCAGCTTGGGGGAGCTGCGGTCCTCACCCCTCCCCCATCGGGGGCATCCGTGGGCCTCCCGTTGTGCCCCCCGTCCCTGAGGGCTCTCGTCGGCGCGAGGGCCCCCCTCCGGGGCGGCAGGTATCCCTGCACTTCGGGGCTCAAGAGACGGGCGTCGATGCAAACGGGGGTCAGCCGGAGCGCCAGATCTTGCGGGGTCCCGAAGGGCCAGGGTTGCATTGACCCGGGCTTGCGTGCAGGATCTTGCAGGATTTGGCAGGGTTCTGCAAGGCCCCGCTGACCCCTGCTTGCACTGCCCCGGGCCAGTGCGTCCCCGAGCTCCCCTTGCCGCGGCTGGACGCGAGGCGCTCCAGAAAACGGCTTCGCCTTCGAGGATCGAAAGGGGTTCGCCTATCTTCCTCGGCGGAGGGTGGCGGAAGGGCGGCGGAAGGCGGCGCGGAAGCCGCGCTCGCCAGTGGAAGCCGGCGGAAGCAAAACATGCGTCCCCGTGAGATGGCAATTTTTGGGGGTTCCGGTTCTCTGGAATCCGCCCCGTGCTCCTGCTCCTGCCCCCAAGGAGGAGGAGGACACCCTGCTGCGGATCCGCACGGCCAATGGCCCCGTGGGGCTCCGCCAGAAGCGGGAACCCGTCGTGCTCCGGGTCGAGAGGCGCGAGGAGACGATCAAGAGGGATTGGATGCGCGGCCGAACGTCGGACGAGTACCTCGCCGCGGTGAAGCAGGCGATGCTCGTCGCCGCCGAGCAGATCAAATCCGGCCGGCTTGCGCCCGATCCGGGCCCCACCTCGAGGTTTCTCGCCGTGCTCGAGCTCCCGGGGCCCTCCACGGGCCCTGGGACCGTCAAGAAACGACTCGGAATGAAACGCTGGTCCCTCATGCCAAGCATGATGCTGCTGCTGCTGCTGCTGCTGCTGCTGCTGCTGCTCTGCTGCCGCCAATGCTGATGGCGATGTTGACGATGATAATGGTTATGATAATGATGCTGCTGCTGATGATGATGTTGAGGCTGGTGATGATGATGATGATGATGATGATGCTGATGATGATGATGATGATGATGCTGCGGATGGGTACGATGATGAGTATGACGAGATGGTGATGCTGCCGTTTAGGATGATTGAGATGTTGCTGTTGTTGATGGTGGTGATGATTATGGTGAAGATGATGATGATGATGATGACGATGCTGATTGTGATGATGATGGTGGTGATGATTATGAGCAGGTTGATGATGCTGATAATGGTGGCGATGAAGCTGGTGGATGCTCTGATAATGATGCTGATGACGATGATGCTGATGATGATGGGGATGATGATGTTGATGCTGCTGATGATTTTGATGATGGTGGTGGTGATGATGATGATGATGCTGATGCTGCTGCTGGTGATGACGATGATGCTGATGCTGCTGTTCATGATGATGCTGCTGATGCTGATTAGGATTATGATGCTGATGGAACTGCTGATGTTGCTGCTGCTGCTGATGATGATGCTGATGATGATGATGATGGTGGTGGTGGTGGTGGTGATGATGATGATGATGGTGGTGGTGGTGGTGGTGGTGGTGATGATGATGATGATGATGATGATGCTGATGATGCTGATGATGATGATGATGATGGTGGTGGTGGTGGTGATGATGATGATGATGATGATGATGATGATGATGATGATGATGATGATGAGGAGGAGGAGGAGGAGGAGGAGGAGGACGAAGAGGACGAGGAGGAGAAGCAGGAATCGGAGGAGGAGGAGGAGGAGGAAGCGGAGGAGGAGTAGGAGGAGAAGGAGGAGCAGGAACAGGAGGAGGAGGAGGAGGAGGCGGAGTGAGGGTAGTGTACGACGAGGGGGTGAGAACGAGGAGGAGGAGAGCCCAACTGCGTGCGCTGTTACGCATGTCGCGCTCGAATCGAAGCCTCGCGAGGGACGCGTGCGGGTCTCCGCTGGATCACCTGAGGCATGCGAGAAAAAGGGGCTCGGTTCGAATCACAGACGGCCGCAGGAGTCGGTGGGCTGGAGCAGCCTGCTCAGGTCCCCCGAGGTCTCCTCGAGGCCCCGCCGAGGCCCCTCCCGCGAGGTCCCCCCGAGGCCCCTCCAACCTCGCAGGGCCTCGGGTAGACCTCGGAGGAAGAGCAGCGAGTCCTCGGAGGTTCCCCGAGCCTCTGCCGGGCTCCGGTGCCGATCGGCTCTGAAGGCGCTCCTCGTGTGAGCTGCTGGCCCGGGCCGCCCTCGGAGATCGAGCAAGAGTCGATCGATGATCGATCGAAGGGTCCGTCGACGAGTCGATCGAAGCATCGAGGATGAGGATCGAAGGATCGAAGATCGAACAGCAGTCGATCGACGAATCGATCGAAGCTCTGCTCCCCCACGCCTCGACGGGGTCCCGTGCCGGGCACGGCCCGCGGGCTCGGCAGGAGTGCTTTTGCGGCCGCCGGCGCCGCCAGTGATATAGGTGCGCTGCGGGCCCCGTGGGGGTCCTCTCGGGCCCGTCGCGCGGAGGGGCTCCGACGGCCAGGCCTCCGCCTGGTGGACTGCGACCAGTGAGCTGTTTCAAGCAGTGGCGAAGCGTCCCGGCTCGCCTATAGCCCCACTCAACACGGTTCTAAGAACCTTTTGTGGTTCCCACGAAGTGTTCTCAGAATTCTTCTGGCTGGGACTGTCTTGTTTGTAACCCATCGGGTTTGTGTTATAAGAACATTTTTTTTTCTGAAAACCTTTTTGGGTTCTAAGAACATTTCGTGGTATGACTATAGGAATGCCGGGACGGTCGGTCCCTGCTCATCTGTTCCCCATTCTTCCTCTCCCTCGCCCTCCTGCTCATCCCTCTTCGCCCTTGGCCTCGCGCCCTGGTGTGAGCTCTTTGGGGCATCATCGCGCACTTCTGTGCGGTGCGGCTCGCTGAGTAGACAGGGCCCCTGTTTTGGTCAACATCCCCTAAATTGGGGTCCAGCGGAAGGATAATCGGTATAACGCTGTGTTTCCAAGCCGTGTTGGTCGTCAAGTCCCTCCCTTGATCATGGTCTGGCCCCGTACTTTATGTCCCATCCTATTTCAAAGCGAACGCGCGAGTCTCGCCGAATGGAGCCCTGCGTGATCCGTTTCCGTTCGCGTTTAGGGCCAATGTGCGCGATTCAGTTCGTCGATCGGAGTTGGTTACCTCGCAACTTTGGCTGGACCCGCAAGTTTAGTATGTGGGGAGAGAGGGTCTGCGGCAGTCTGTGATGGGGCACACGCCTGCGGCCGAGCCAGAGCACTCTTGTCTTCTTTGCTCCTAGGGCTGTCGGGTGAGCATACGGAGGCACCAGGTGTTGCAATGTCCTCCTTTGGTAAGTCGCCAGTTCGGATTTGGCCAGGGGAGGAGGAGGAGTTTCCACAGGCCCTCTCGCTAGTTTTTAGTGTTAGCATCATGAAAGCGTGAGGTCGTGGTGTAGCCGCAAGGTGCAGACCTTGCTAGCTAAACTGTACGGCTGATGTCTTTCGTCGTGAAAGCGAGACCGAGAGAGATGGACAGAGAGAGAGAGAGAGAGAGAGCGAGCGAAAAAGAGAGAGAGAGAGAGAGCGAGCGAGCGAGAAAGAGAGAGAGGGAGGGGAGGAGGAGCAGGAGGAGCAGCAGGAGGAGGAGGAGGAGGAGCAGGAGGAGGACGGGGGAAAGAGGACGAGAAGGAGGCGGAGGGGGCGGGAGAAACGGCCATAGGGTCGGGAAGAGCCTCGTATGCTTAGAGTCTACACCCAGGGCTCGGTGGATTGGCCGATGCTCGGGATCCGGTGTTTTCGGCTGGTGCTGCAGATCCACGGACCCACCAGGCAACCATCGAGAACCTTCTCAATTGGAAGCCGCCGCCCCAAGTGGTCGAGGGAGGCAAGCACACTCTGCAGAATGTCGACAAGTATGACCGCAAGAGGGAGATGCTTGTCAAATTCTCCAAGAAGTTCTGCGTTGCTGCAGCGCAGAGGCGGGTGCGTAGCTTCATCATTGAAGGCGGGAGTGGTTGGCTCCTGTATCCTCCTCCTCTTCCTCTTCCCCCTCTGCAGCCCTCCCACTCGTCATTCTCCTCCTCTCCTCCCCTCCTCCTCCTCCTCCTCCTCCTCCTCCTCTTCCTCCTCCTTGAAGGTGAGAGTGGGGAGCTCCTGTATTATAGAAGTACAGATCCGAACGCCAAGCTGAAGGATGCCTACAAGCTGAAGGACGCAGAGTGCGAGATCGAGACCAAGGTTCGGTCGGCCAGAGATGCCCCTCGTCCCGCGCAAACGAGGGAGGGGCGACGAGGGGGAGGAGGAGGAGGAGGAGGAGGAGGAGGAGGAGGAGGGGGAGGAGGAGGAGGAGGAGGAGGAGGAGGAGGAGGAGGAGGAGGAGGAGGAGGAGGAGGAAGAGGAGGAGGAGGAGGAGAAGGAAGGACGGTACTTGTAGGGAAGGAGGAGGAAGAGGAGGACCACTCATCGAACATCGAGGCGTTTGACATTTTTTCTGTGTGTGCTGCATGTCCGTCCTCATCGCCGCGGCTGGATCTGCCTCGAAAGTCTGGTCAGACAGCGCCCTTGGACAACCAATTCGATGATGGGGGGGCCAGGGTAAACCTATCACCCCCACACACACACACACACACTCACAGCAAGCCCTCCCATCCCAACTCCCCACACGTCATACATCAACTAACTGTCTTTCATTCTCACTGCGGGCAGCGCACGCTGGCAAGGCGGGGTGCCCATGGACCTGAGGAGGAGGAGGAGGAGGAGGAGGAGGAGGAGGAGGAGGGGGAGGAGGGGGGAGGAGGGGAGGAGGAGGGGGGGAGGGGGAGGAGGAGGAGGAAGGAGGAGGGAGGAGGAGGAGGAGGAGGAGGAGGAGGAGGAGGAGGAGGTTGTGTACTGCGCCTCGGCGCTCGGACCCAGGACCTGACCGCGCAGCGCCAACTCATCGCAGTGTCGTCGAGGGGGGCTCGCCCTTCGCCCGTGGCGCCAGCAGAAGCTCCACGAACATCGGCAAAGCCTCCTCCTCCTCCTCCTCCTCCTCCTCCTCCCTCCTCCTCTCCTCCTCCTCATTCCTCCTCATCCCCCTTCCTCCTCCTCCTCCTCCTCCCCCCTCCTCCTCCTCGCCTCCTCCTCCTCCTCCCCCTCCTCCTCCTCCTCCTCCCGACGGCATCTGGAGGGCGGCATCTGGAGGGCGGCTCCTCCGCCCTTTGCGGGGAAGACTGAGACACCTTCTCAGGAGGCCGGAGGACTTCCGAGCCTTCCGAGAAGGTCCGCCCCTTCCCATTTGCCCCCCGGGCTCGCCGCCAGCCCTTGCACGTCGATCTCGAGCCAAGCTCGACGTGCAGGGGCTTCGATCTTGAGCCAAGCTCGACGTGCAGGGGCTTCGATCTTGAGCCAAGCTCGATCTTGAGCCAAGCCACGCTAACCTACGACGTCGAGCTTGGCTCATTTCCCCCCGGGCGCCAAAGAGAGCTCCACCGAAGGCCCCAGCGGCAGGGCCTGCATGGCGGCTCCGCACCAGCTCGGCGCAGCTCCCGGTCGTTTCTCGTGGCCCGCACCGGAGCTCCACCGCATGCCCCAGCGGCAGGGCTCGCGTGGCGGCCCGTCGCCCATCTCGGCACAGCCATCTCGCACGCTTCGCGTCCCCAGAGGGAGCTCTCCACCGAAGGCCGCAGCAGCAGGGCCCGCATGGCAGGCCCGCACAACTTTCGGCTCCGCCCTCACGCGCTTCGTGGCCCCGTCTGGATTCCCACACAGGGCCTAAGCCTGGCATCGCTCGGACGTGTGTATTTTTTCTCGGCGAGGGCCATCGAGGAGCATCCTTGATCATTTGGCGAAAAAAACCACGCACGAAATCGACAAAAAGCACAGGGAATGGACGTCCGAGCGATGGCCAGTAAGCGGCAGGAGCCGATTGGCGGCCCCGCATCGATGTCGGCACGGGCCTCACACGCTTCGTGGCGCCCTAGGGAGCTCCGCCGGAGACGCCACCGGCGGAGTCCGCACGACGCCCCGCACCCATACCGGTTTTCCCCCTCACAGGCTTCGTGGCCCCACAGGGAGCTCCACTGAAAGCCTCCTCAGCGGCAGGGTCCGCATGGCGGCCCTCCACGCATTTCGGCACAGCCTCACACGTCTCGCGGGCCCACAAAGAAGCTCGACCGGACGCCCCAGCGGCAGGGTCCGCGCGGCGGCTCTTCACCCACTTCGGCGCACCTCTCTTGGCCCCAGGGGTTCCATCTGCTGTGCGGTGCTTGCACCCGGTAATGTCTGGGTCTCTCGCCAGGGTGATTTTGCGAGGGATCATGGCCTCGGGAGGGGGAATGGTGCGTGCGACACTCTTCGGGAGGAGGGGAGGGGTCTCTTAGAATGGCACAGAACCCTTACGAGATAGCCCTCGGCATTCTGTCAGGGCTGAACTTGCCAAGGGGGGGTACGGTGGCGGACATGAAGTGGATGGATAAAAAAGGTAAAGGCGAGCGGAAGGAAGGGGAAGGAGGAGAAAGAGGAGGAGGAGGAGGAGGAGGAGGGATAGAAGGTAAGGACGAGCGGGAGGAAGGAGAAGGAGGAGGAAGAGAAGGAGGATCGGGAGAAGGGCCAGGAGGAAGAGGAGGAGAGGGGCACATCTTCAGAGTGAAAAGCCATCGTCGGGAGTGAGTGACAGTCACGGGCTGCCCCCGAAGGAGTCCAGCCAGATTCCGAAGTGGGAGCCTGGCTATGAGCAGAGGCTAAGGGTCGATTGCAAGGAGCGGAGGGATATGAGCAAAAACCCTCGTCGTCGTCCTCGTCTTCCTCATACCCCCAATTCGCCCCCCTTCAAGGGTCCATGCCGATCCGATTGATCCGACTCGATGCCGGTTCCAGCCAGCCCGATTCGATTCGATTCCGATGTTCTAGCGATCCGATGCGGCTCGTTGTTTTTACGGCGCTGTTGTGCATCCAGGCACGGCTGATCCGATTCGATTTCGATTCCGTCCCGATGCAGCCCATCTCGATTCGACCTGGTTTCTCAGTTCGATGTTGGTCGATGTTGTCTTCCGTCTTGCGGATCGATTCAAAGGAGCGGAGAGACCAGAGCAAAAACCCGTTGTACCTCTACACCAAGCGGGTCGAGAAGATCCAGCATTGGAAGCGGGCCTTCCGGCTGTCGAAGATCCTCGTCAACGACCACGACAGGCGTGCGCTCAAAGCGGCGATCGCCCGTGCATCGTCGGGGGCCCTGGTGAAGGCGTGGGCCTGCCTGTCCAGGTACTTCCAGGAGATCAGGTCTACGAGGGGCCTCGTGAAGAAGCTGGCGTTTCGAATGATGAAGGTGGACTTGAGCCGTGGCTGGACGAAGCTCCAGCTGGTGCACAAGAAGAAAGCGGACGAGGAGAAGAAAAAGCAGGAGCAGCAGCACTGGGCTGCCCGCTTCGTGTCCCAGAAGCTCAACAAAATCGGGGGCACCAAGGCTCGAACGGCTGTTTACTAATGGTGGAACTGGCTAGGCTCATCTTGGGCCCAGGAGTGGTTTGTTGCTCCCCCATCCCAGGAAGACGGTGAAGAGGAGGAGGAGGTTGAGGAGGGGTCGCACAGGTCCTCGCTGCTTGGCGACCATGGTTCACAGACGGGTCAGAGGCCGTGGTGACCCTGGCCAGTGCCAGAGTCAGTGTATTGATGGCAGCTCCTCGGCTCTTCCTCTTTCTCCTTGTTCACGCCCCCGTCCTCTCTCCCTCAAGGTGAAGGCCCCCGACCAGGTCCGAGAGCAGGTCATCACCACCATCCAGAGCAGATTTCGTCGCTACCGTGAGGACATGATCTTTGATCGCCGGTATGTCCTGAACCATTCGGCGCTGGCCCAGGTGCAGCAGGCCAAGGTCGGTAGAAGCATCCACTTCGCACTCCAAGGGGCGACGTGTGAGGATGCAGTCCGCCTCAGCATGGCCCCAGAGTCGCGTGCATGTATAGAGTGGGAGAAGCACAGAGACCTGCTGGTGACAAAGAGGTTCACGTACTCGGAGACCAACCTGCCCCTCACTCCCGCCAACGCTTTCGTGTCCGACAACATGACCAGCCTTGCTTTTTCCATGGAGGTAGACAATGCGGCCAGTGCCAACGAGGCGTACAGTGCCCTGAACAAGGCAGACTGGTCAAAGTTCGTCAACCTCGACAGGATTTCGTCGATGATGCTCCACTCTGCGCCACTGAGGACAGCTTCGACACCATTTTCAGCAGAGGACGCGGCTGTGTGGTGCACGATCTGCGGGCCGCGCCTTGCTTGGGACAAGTGCCTCAAAGAGAAGCCTGGCCAATCCAAACATGCAGTCGGCGCACAGGATAGTTTCGAGGTGCCACGTGCACTCACTCGCGGCGATGCGCTCAACTGGGTGAACATTGGCATCACCCTGAAAAGCGTAAATGCCCACTGGGATGCAGCAGTACAGTGGGATGGTGGCGAGAGTGATGTGCCAGTGTCGGTTGTTGTGCATGTCTTGGGGTTCGCATTCAAGACGAAGGCTGCCTTCAGAAGAGTTAGCAAAACTGACCGAGAGATCGTCTTCAACTTCTCGTGCAACGCAGCCGTGCCAGTCAGCTCACCCGATAAATTTGTCGCTCTGGACGGTGCTGAATTCGGCCTGGAGGTTTTCGAGGACAGGGCTGATACGAGAGGGCAGCACGCTCTCCTCTTCATGGGCACCCAGCAGCTCTCAGCAGCCCTCAAGTGCGGCAGGGGCGACTTTGCACTTGCAAAGCACATACAAGACGCCAAGGAAGCCAAGCACGAAGTCTCCCTGCCACTCTTCAGGTCCGACGGGAAGCACCAAGGCGGCCATGCAGACTTCACGATCGAGCCAAAAATAAAGCAAGGCAAGGATAGCAAGAACCCGTTTGGGACGCAGGAAGCGCATGCTCGCCTTTCCCCAGAGTTTTTAGGCGGTGGTGTTCCAATTTCACTGTATACATCGCACCGGAGTGCGTGGTACGACCCTGAACTTGGCCCAGGCAAGTTCCGTGCGGACCACGTGGCGAATTTCGTTCAGCTCACCATTGGAACGCTGCGCTTCGCAAGCTCTGACGAGGTGCATCATGATGGCATCGTGGACCGTCTGACCGGCCACCATGAGGAGGAGCCAACCTACCATATCAGGGCCTCCACGAATGGGACAAGCGCGACCACGCTGCCATTACATCGTCCAGGTGAGAAATGGGCTTTGGTATTGGGAAGCTCTGGTGGAGATCCCTCGACTATTAAGTTTCTCGGTTCAGAAATATTTTTGCCGCTGCCTCCGGGATGTTGGGGAGACGATGTTGCTGACCTTCGCCGCATCACTCTTGAAGTCGTGAAACGATCACATCCCACTGTGGAGGCGGAGAACTTCACTAGCTTCATGAAGAGGAGCGGCAAGGCAGCGACGCCCTCTCAGCAAGAGGTCGTTTACCGGGCCGTCCTCACCTTCGACCACAATATGATAGTTGATCGGGTAAAGCCAGTCAGCGTGCTGCTGGCGGACGCCAAAAAGGGAGCGCCAACAGACATGAATGTCTTTTCCACAACGTTCACCTCGAGCGGGGAGGAGGCCATGTTGAGCCTTGACTTTGCTTTGAGAGACCGCGACTATGTGAAAGCTGCCCTGGGGAAGGCCAAAAACAGGCGCGCCCTATGTATCGGTGACAAGGCGCTACTGGTCTGTGAAGAGCCGTTGCAATACCCAAAGGACGCTCTGGAATTCAGGAGGCGCTTCTGTTTGGGCCAGTTCGACCCAAAAGCTAAGCACTGGCCAGATAAGAACCGTGGTGCCACGTTGCGAGCTCCGTGCTTAAGCAGTGAGTACGCAGATAGCGGTCTCGGCGAGGTTACTCCGAAGCACCCTTTCATGCAAGCTTTTATCCCCAAGTCTTGTACCGATATGATTCCACACAAGTTTGTCTTGCCTCTCACAGAGAAGGAATTCGTCGACAAGAGCCTACCAGGGTGTTACACGCGCATCCTGCAAGACCTGGTTACCCACTCGGGGCTCCAAAGCAAGAGTGGGCATCGATCCGGATATACGAAGCCTGTCGTCGATCATCTTTCTCACATATATCGGCAGATACCCGCCACGGTTTTGGCAATGTATGCTGATGATACTTGCGACCTGGAGATTGCAGCCGAGTTCTTGGAGCTGTGGCAAAGACAGCCACACCGTAAGATTTCAGTGCCAGGTACTCTCAAGACCTCGCCACTGGTCCCAGGGCAAACTCCACGAGCACTTCTCCTGCGCGTGCCACTTGCAATGATGCGAGCGACTAGCTACGCAGGCGTCAATGTGTATGACACAAGTCTGACTTCCACTGGTGATGTGTTGGAGGTCGATCCACAACGCTTCGCGGTTTCACACTTCCATCGGTGGATCGGTCGCGAAGTTTACCAGTGTGCGCCGGATGAGGCCTGTAAGTGGCTCGGTCCTGTAGGGCTCCAGAGTCAATCCTGGTGGTTCTGGATACCCTCTGACTCTAGATAAGTCCCTAAGTCAGTAACATCGACAGCATGTGTGTGCTTGTGTGTGTGTGTCGTATGATGCGCGTCCGCATTTGTGCGTGCGAGCGTGCGCTCGCGCGCGCGCGCGTGTGTGTGTGTGTGTAGTTGTGTCTGTGTGTAGGTGTGTGTGTGTGGGTGCGCATGTCTGTGTGCGTTTGTGTGCATGCCTTTCTACGCCTCGACGCTTCGCGCGAGGCCGCAACGCCTAATGTGTGTGTGTTTGTCTGTGCGTGTTGTTGTGTGTATGTGCGTGTGTGTGTGTGTGCGTGTGTGCGCGCGCGTGTGTGTGTGTGTACGTGTGTGTGTGTGTGTGTGTGCGTGTGTGCGTGTGTGTGTGTGTGTGTGTGTGTTTGTGTCTGTGTGCGCATGCGTTCGCATGGGACTATGTGGAGTCGGCGCTGCACTTCGTGCTGAGCCTGCGCGAAGGCATGCATGTACCCGGCAGAACTGTTTATGCCACCGCTTTGCAACCAGGGTTGCATGGTGAGAACGGGCGCGTGACTGAAATCTGGGGCAACCGCAGTACTTCTCGAATGCTTGGGGAATCAGGGGTCGGAAACATTCGGGAGCAGATGCCGGGATGATCTCAGAACCCTCTGGGAGGGCAACTTCGTTTCCCAGGCAGCATTCTTGCTCCCTGAAGCAGGGGCCGCCGCGAGGGCGCAAAGATGTTCGTGCTTCGAGGCTCGCGGTCGGTATCCCTGCTCATGCGTGATCCTCGTCCTCGTCCTCGTGTTCCTCCTCGTCCTCCTCTTTTCCCCACCTGGGCGGCGCGAGCGCGCGAAGTTCTTCGCGCTTCGCGCAGCGCGAAGCGTGAAGGCAGCTGCCTGTGTTGATGGCGCCACTGCCGAGCAGTCGCTCGCCCGAGAGGATCTCGACCCAGGAGCCGCCGAGGAGGAGGAGGAGGAGGAAAAGGGGGGGAGGGAGGAGGAGAACGGGGAGGCAGGAGTGGGAGGAGGAGGAGGAGGATGAGGAGGATGAGGAGGAGGAGGAGGAGGAGAAGGGGGAGGAGGAGAAGGGGGAGGAGGAGGAGGAAGAGGAGGAGGAGGAGGAGGAGGAGGAGGAGGAGGAGGAGAAGGAGAATCCGGAACAGTGCCAGAACGCCATTCCTGGGACCTCAACGCCGCGAATCAACGGTACTGTTGCGTCTTGACGATCCTGAATCGTGCGGGAAGCTCATCTCTGGGACTTCAACACCGCGAATCAACTGTGCGCCCATGTAGTCCGACCTGTTAATCATGAGTGCCCTTGAAACTGCTGCGAACTCTGAAGACGAATGTGCGCGACGCCAAGGCGAGAGCCACATTTCGAAAAGGAACCACCCTCCATTCGTGAAGCTCTTGCAAGCTTTTGAAACTATTATGCGCGGCGCCCAGGCGAGAGCCACAATTCGAAAAGGAACCACCCCCCATTCTTGAAGCTCCTGCAAGCTTTCGAAACTAATATGCGCGGCGCCAAGGCGAGAGCCACACTTCGAAAAGGAGCCACCCCCCATTCGTGAAGCTCTTGCAAGCTTTTGAAACCACTATGCGCGGCGCCCAGGCGAGAGCCACACTTCGAAACGGAATCACCCCCCATTCGTGAAGCTCCTGCGAGCTTTTGAAACTAATATGCGTGGCGCTCGGGCGAGGGCCGCATCTTGAAAACGGACCGCCCTCCACCTGTGAAGCTTTTGCAAGCTTCGAGGTTGAGTGTGCGCAGCGCTGAGGCGAGAGCTATGCTTTGAAAGCGGGCCGCCCTCCATCCGTGAAATTGTTGCACATCTCAGGCTTAAGGGTCATAACTTGTGAGGACTTCTCAGGCGAAACGCCCAGCCCGCCCTTTCGACCGGCCTCCGGGTGCGACAGGGAGGAGGTATCTACAAGGGAAAGCAATGGGGGGTGGAGAGGGAAGGGAGGAGGAGGTGGAGGCATAAGGAGGAGGAGGAGGAGGAGGAGGAGGAGGAGGAGGAGGAGGAGAAGGAGTTCCCGTGGCCCCGTGTCCTCCGCGAGGGGAGGGTCTGCGGCTGCTCCCCAGAACGACTTCAACTTCCAGTCGGCGCACGCCGACTCCCAGAAGGGGGGCCGCAGGTTCCGCGTGGCGGCCGGCCCGCTGCCGCCGGACGCGAGCCCCGCGGCCTGCCAGTACGAGTGGTCTTCGGGGGCGGAAAAGAGGGGGGTGATGACTAGGGGGGGGGGGGATATCATGGCGGGGGCCATGGTATTTCCCCAGATTTCATGGCGCCTCTTCTTATCTCATTACGTCCCTGGCCCCCCCGCTGGGCCGCGCACGTGCCGCCGGTCATGATTTGCCCCCCCCCCTCTTGGACGCCCCCCTCTTGGCCGCTCCCGAGGTCTGTGCGGGTCCGCCTGCCGAGCCAGGAGGAGATCGGGGCTGGACAGACCTCCTGCCCTGACACGCCGATTTAGGAATTGGCCGTTTTCGGCTCGCGAGAGGGCGTCGCGGCCGTCATTTTTGCGGGTCCAGGTCCGTCGGTTTCGGTCCCAGGCCGTTTTCACTGAGGGGAGGTCTACTAAAAGGGAGGTGTGTCCGCCGCCGAGGAGATGTTCAAGTTCGTGGCGATGATCCGCCGGTGCGTGCGCCTGGACCACTTCCAGCAGGCGAGCAAGATGCTCGAGTACCAGAGCCTCGTGCAGGACAAGCAGGCGGTGGCTCCCGTGCGGCAGGGGCCGGCCATTGGTGGGCAGCTCGACGTCGTCCTGCTTGAGGCGCGGAGGCTCATGCCCATGCAGTCCATCGCAGGCAAGCTGGCGAACTTCGACACGAACGTAATGCATTCCTTAACCCAGAGAGAAAAAGTCCCCTCCTCGATCCGCCCTGCCGTGCCGGTCGATGACGAGTACCTGCCGGCGCTGCAGGCGACAACCTCGGGGGCGCCGTCCAGGAGTACGCCCACGGGGTCGAAGGTCACCACCTATGTCAATTTCAAGCTTAAGAACATTGTGGGCGGGGATGCGCGGAGGCAGGAGATAGTGTCTTACAAAGGTCGAAGAAGAAAAAACGCCATGGACATACACTTTTGGCGCTCCGCGCGGATTTCTTGGATCCGGGCACCCCCGGCGGCGCCTCTGGCGCCGCCCCCGGCGCGTTCCGCGCGCCTGGCAGGGTGGTCCAGCGCAGACCCAAGAGATCCGCGCGGAGCGCCACAGGTGTATGTGTGTGGCAGTTCTTCTTTTTCTGAAAGGCCAGAAGGTCCAGATGCCTCGCACTCGGTGTTCTCCGACCACGCGATCACCGATCGCAGCCGCAGCCGTCGCCAATCGCACTGGGAGTCTGTCGCGCGATCGGCCCAGCGGTGTCGACGCGGCCCGCTCGCGCGTGCGGACCTTGGCCGTGGCGGCGGCTGTCGTGGTGGAGTCCACTGTCGTATCGCGTGGGCGCGGAGTGGGGCCCATGGAGGGCGGAGGCGGACCCAGGAGGAGGAGGGGGAGGAGGGGGAGGAGGGGGAGGAGGAGGAGCAGGAGGAGCAGGAGGAGGAGCAGGAGGAGGAGGAGGACGAGGACGAGGACGAGGACCAGCACGAGGAGGAGGAGGAGGAGGAGGAGGGCCAGGAGGAGGCCCCGAGGTCTTGCACCATGTCCGGCACGGACAGCCCGAGCTGGGCCACGGCCGAGGACCGGCCCGACCTCCAGAGGGCGGGCGGCTGGACGTTCAAGACGGGTCACATCAACCCAGAGAAGATGCCCGACCTCATCATCCAGTTCGAGGTTCGAAGAAGGAAAAACTGCACACACACACACACACACACACACACACACACACACACACACACACACACACACACACACACACACACACACACACACACACACACACACACACGCACACACACACACACACACACCACACACGCACGCACGCACGCACGCACGCACGCACGCACGCACGCACGCACACACACACACACACATATATATATATATATATATATGTTCGACGGTCTGCACGGATTTCTTGGATCTGCGGTCCATTGCAGATCCAAGAAATCCGCGCGGAGCGCTGAAAGTCTATTTTTATGGCGTTTCTTCCTTCTTCGAGAGGTGATGCAGGCACACGTCGGCTTCCCGACGCTCATCGGGTTCATCCAGCTGCCCGTCACCAGCCGGAACTTCCTCACCAATCCAGACGAGTGTTTCAAGAACCTGTGGCTGCCGCTCGTCACCATGAAGACCGTGCGGGACGAGGAGGATGGTCAGATCCAGGAATTCCGCAGGCCTGTTGCGAATCCGACGGGCGAGATTCACATCATGACTCGCTGGCTGCCCGCCGAGAAAATGCAGGTCCTGACGGACGGGTCGATGAAGCAGCAGATGTCAGTGAGGAGCCACTTCCTGAAGGAGATCTGGGCGAAGGCGCCAGGGTCTGGCGTGGCCAGGGCAAGGATCATCCGTTCCAGCGCGTGTCGGAACGCTCTCGGAGCGTTCTGGAACGCTCTGAGAAGGCCGCGGCGCCCGAGACATCCTCCGGAGCCGCCGGATCTCCGAGATCCTCGACCTACCCTCACCCGATTCTCAGGGAGGGGGAAACACACAGACACAAGTAATCGTCGACTCCCAGGGAAAGATGGGAGAATATGGGACGTGGGGGGGAAAGAAGAAAACCCCGATAAATATGAGAAAATATGGGGAATCCTGGGATTTGTGTGCATTTACTTGCGTGTCCCTGGACCCCTTCGAAAGAATCTTATCCTCGTCCTGGCTTCGTCTTACACGAAAAGCAGGAAAGTATCCGCCATCGCCACGCCTCCCCAGGCCCGTCTCAGGTCCAACTCGTAATGAGAATTACTTCCAGAGGTTCACAGGCGGGTCCCCAGAGGCCTCCGGAGGTCCTCGGAGGCTTCCAGGTGACCCCGCATGTCTCCAGAGGTCTCTGGGGGTCCAGCAGTGGCCAACGACGACGACGACGACGACGACGACGACGTCGGCGGCGGCGGCGGCGGCGGCGGCGACGGCAGCGACGACGACGATGGCGGCGGCGGCGTCGACGACGACGCCCTGCAGGCCTCCAAAGGCTTCTGGATGTCCAGCAAGGGCCAACGACGACGTAGACGACGTCGACGACGACGACAACGACGACGACAAAGACGACGACGACGACGACGACGACGACGACGACGACGACTACGACGACGTCGACGACGACAACGACCACGACCACGACGATGACCACGACGATGACCACGACGATGCTGATGATGCTGATGATGCTGATGCCGATGATGCTGATGATGCTGATGATGCTGATGATGCTGATGATGCTGATGCTGATAATGCTGCTGCTGATGCTGATGCTGATGCTGATGCTGCTGCTGATGCTGATGCTGATGCTGATGCTGATGCTGATGCTGCTGATGATGATGACGATGACGATGACGACGACGACGACGACGACGACGACGACGGCGACGACGACGACGACGATGATGATGATGATGATGATGATGATGATGATGCTGCTGCTGCTGCTGCTGCTGCGCTGCTGCTGCTGCTGCTGATGATGATGATGATGATGATGATGATGATGATGATGATGATGATGATGATGATGATGCTGATGCTGATGCTGATGCTGATGCTGATGATGCTGATGCTGATGCTGATGCTGATGCTGATGCTGATGCTGATGCTGGACGGCGGCGACGACGGCGGCGACGACGGACGACGCCCTGCAGGCCTCCAGAGGCCTCTGGAGGTCCAGCAAGCGCCGAGAGCATGCAGCAGGTCCGATCTTCGATGCTCCTCCTCGACCCTCCCGGCCTGCCCGGGGGCCCGTGGGACCCAGACATCGGGCGTCTCGAAAATATCGAGACGGAAGTTTTTCGCTTTTTCGGCCTCCAGGGGCCTTTCCCGGGTCTCGGGACCGTCAAAAGAAGACTCAGGATGAAAAACCGGTCCTGGGGAAGTGGTCGGGAGGTCCGGGGCCCGTGTCTCGAACAAAAATCGAGACGTCGGACGTCTGGGGAGCGCCCTCGCCCGTTCGGCCGCCGAAGGGGCAGCCGAACGGGCTGAGTTTCCGACGGGGTCGTGGCAGTTGATCAGAGCCCCGAATTATCAGGGGTAATTCGGGTCAGGACTAACTCGGGTTCGCTTTTCAGGATTCCGAACCCGAGTTACCCCGTGCCCGAGTTACCCCGGATAACTCGGGCCTCCAGAGCCCCAAATCATCAGGGGTAACTCGGGTCAGGGCTAACTCGGGTTCGATTTTCGGGAATCCAAGCCCGCGTTACCCCGGACCCGAGTTACCCCGGATAACTCGGGCGCCCAAGTTGAGCCCGTTGGGCCGCCCGATGGCCTCGATCTTCAGCCCGTTCGGCGGCCGCACGGGCTCTGGGCCTGTCACGGGCTAGGCAGGGAGCCCCGGACCCTGGGCTGGCCAGGGGGGCCGTCGTCCGAAGGCCTGGGTCCGCTCTGGCCCTGCGCGGGCATGCGGCAACCCGCTGCGCGCCTGGGTGACCCTTCGCCAGCCAAACGACGCGAAGATCGGGACAAAATCGGATCGGGATAACTCGAAATCTCTGAGAATCGGCGGGTTTGGAGGATGTATTGGGCGCCGCGGCCGCTCTAGAGCGTTCCGGAACGCTCTGAGAGCGCTCCGGAACGCTCTGGAGCGATTTATCCAGATCCTAGCCCTGTTTTAGCCAGGGTGACTTCTCATCGGAGGAGGGAAGGGTACGCACACCGCCACCCTTCCCTTTGTTATCGCCTTTTTGGGGGCCTCCTGGGGGGCCCTCGTCGCCACCGCTGGAGTCGCCTCGGAATCCTGCTCAGAACGCACCCCAGGAGAGGTCCGCCAAAAACCGGTATTGGTACCTGTTGGTTTCCCCACCCAAGGGGGTCCAATGGATCCGATCGATGCGATTCGATGCCGATTGCAGCCTGCTCGATCCGATGCGTCCCGGTGCTCGCATGGCGTGGCCGTCCGTTCTTCTGGCGCAGCCAGTCCGATCCGAGTCCGGCTGCGTGTCGGCCGAAGCGCGCCCCGATGCGACGCACGTTCCGGTCCGACCAGATCTTCCGATGCGGTGCTGTCTTCTCCTGGCACTGGCACGCCTCCAACGACGATGACGCCGCCGACGACGACGACAACCACGACGACGAAGACGACGACGACGACGTCGGTGACGACGACGGGGAGGACGACGACGACCACGACGACGATGACGACGACGAGGAGGAGGAGGAGGACGACGACGACGACCAGATCTTCCGATTCGGTGCTGTCTTCTCCTGGAACTGGCAGGCGGGCTTGGATTTGCCCCCCCCCCCCCCCCCCCCCCCCCCCGCAGCCCCGGAAAGCCGCGCACCAGAGGCCGCGTCTTACTCGGGCTCGGTAGCAAGTCATGTGAGCCTTGTATGTCCTGGCCATTCCGTTGTTCGAGTGCGCGTCGAGCAGCGTCTGGTAACCGATGGGGATGCGTCGACTAAGCGTCGATTCAGCGCCGACTCGCGTCGATTCGCGCCGATTCGTGCTAATTAGTGTCGGTTAGCGTTGGTTAGCGTCGATTCGCAAGGGCCAGCAAGATGGCATGGGAGGCTTCCACGAGTTGACACCGAAGTCCTGCCCCCCCAACGGCCACGCCTTGCCTCCAGACTCCTGGCGACAGATCTGGCTCAAGATCGGACTCCCCCTCCTCCTCCTCCTCCTCCTCCTCCTCTCCCTCCCTCCTCCTCCTCCTCCTCCTCCTCCTCTCCTCCTCCTCCTCCTCCTCCTCCTCCTCCTCCTCCTCCTCCTCCTCCTCCTCCTCCTCCTCCTCCCCCCCCGCAGCCCCCGGAAGCCGCGCACCAGAGGCCGCGTCTTGCCCGGGGCCCCTCCCGCGCGTCGCCGAGGCAGGCGACAGCGCCATTCCGGCGAGGCGGTCGCCCGCGCAGGGGCGCCGGGCGCGCGGGGTCGAGGAGCCTGCGGCGGCCTCGCCAGACTCCTGGCGGCGAGCGTTGCGTGGTGGGCAGTGTGGGTGGTCCCCAAACGTGGTGGTGAGAACTGGCCCAGTGGTGAGTTTTGGGCGATTGGGGCACTGGTTTTCGAGCGCTGCCTGGCCCAGGAAGCGCAACACCTCGTGGCGACCGCGCGTCCCCAAAGCCGGTGGTGACCCAGAATTATTTTGGGGGGAATCGGGGTCACCACCGGGTGTCTCACCACCTGGTTTGGAGACCACCAATAGGGGGGGGGGCGACGAGTGAGGCCTTCAAGGAAGGGCCTCGTCTTCGAGGATCGTCTCATCCTCGGTGGCAGGCGGCGGAAGGCCGACGGAAGCCCGCGGAAGCAAACATCTGCCTCCCAAGAGACGGCAAGATCTCCTGGCTCAGGGTTTTTTTGACCCTCCAAATGGGGGGGGTGGGGTAGAAAGTGCACCTTTTGTGCCCTCAAGGGGCCCCAAAGGGGGGGGGCCCAAAGGGGCACACGAGATGCACGCTTCTTCCCCCCCCCCCCACCGCTACTTGATCGTCGCCGTTCGGCAGCGCCCGACTGGCGGCGGAGATCGGTCAGATCGGTGACAAGGGCCATGGCAGAGGAGGAGGAGGAGGAGGAGGAGGAGGAGGAGGAGGACGACGACGACAGCGACGACGACGAGGAGGTGAAGGGGAGCCCTGATTTTGTCTAGACACTGGGGGCCTGGGACCATGGCAGGCCTGAGAGCCAGATCGAACTTCGAGATCTGATCGGACCATGGCAGGCCAGAGGAGGAGGAGGAGGAGGAGGAGGTGGGGAGGAGGAGGAGGGGGAGGAGGAGGAGGAGGATGCGATTCGACGTGCCAGGCGGGGCCGTGATTCCGACTCCTGTTCGATGCGGTTCGAGCCGCGCCGGCATCGGCCAGGGCCGGCTGCAGCTGGGCGCGGCGATCCGCTTTCGATCCGCTCGGGGACGCTTCGCTGGGGATCCGATGCGTTTCCGATCCGAGCAGGCCTCGAAGTTCGATCTGGCTCTCAGGCCTGCCATGGTCCCAGGCCCCCAGTGTCTAGACACAGTCAGGGCGCCCCTTCGCCCTCCTCGTCGTCGTCGTCGTCTCGTTCTTTCTCCTCATCTTCTCCTCCTCCATCCTCTCTCCTCCTCCTCTCCTCCTCCTCCTCCTCCTCTCCTCCCCTTCCCCCCTCCCCCATCCTCTTGTTCCTCCTCTTCTTCCTCCTCCTTCTCCTCCTTGTCCTCCTCCTCCTCTCCTCCACAATTACACAATCTGAGTACTACTCTCCTCTCTCCCCTGGTGGCGTCCGGGAAATGTTCGGCCCCCCTCCGCGTACGGTTTTTTACGCAGGATTCCCGGGAGTTGGGTTTTCGCTGGGATTTTCGTCATTTCCGCGCTTCCGTTTGTCCAGAATTATGCTCCCACTGCAGCGCTGGCGTCATTATTTCCAGTGCCATGCCACGGCATGGCTTTGGTCCTTCCAAATGGGCCCCGAAATCTAGAAATTGCCTTCCGAAAAAAGACTTCGGAAGTGATCACACATTCGGTGTCGATTCATTGACTAGTTGAGCCGCAGAAGCCTCCCCCCCCTCTTTGGGGCGTCGCCACGCCATGCTATGTCATGCTACGCGTCCTGATTTCCGCGTTTCCGCGCTTGGTTGCTTGTTTTGAAATGCTGCTCTTGCTGAAGCGCTGGCCTCATTTTCGGGCTACCGCTCATTCCGCATCGTGCTCCCGCTGCAGCGCTGGCCTCGTTTCCGCGCTTCCGCTCGTCCCGAATCGTGCTCCCCCTGCAGCGCTGGCGTCATTATTTCCAGTGCCGAGCCACGGCTTGGCTTTTTGTCCTTCCAAATAAGTCTCAAATCTAGAAAATGGCCTCTTGAACAAATCATCATAAGTGATTACACATTCGGTGTCGATTCGTGGATTTGCTAGGCCGCAGAAGCTCCCCCACACTTTGGGGCGTCGCCACGTCATGCTATGTCATGCTACGCGTTGATCTTCAACATCATGCTATGCCATGTAATGCTATGCCATGTTGCGACATCCGATTGTGTGAATAGGGAGGATATCTACGCCATGGTAAGGGATGGGAGGGAGGGGTAGGACGTCAGATATGACGCGAGCGCACCTAGCTAGTCCTCCTCCCTCTCCTCCTCCTCCGCCTCATCCTCCTCCTACTCATCCTTTCGTAGCGCTGCTCAGCCTGGGAATCTGGGTAGCCCTGTCTCTGGCGGCGGCGGAGGTGCATCTGTGGGGACCAAGTGGATGTCTTAGAAGGGACCTCTTGGGACCATCCCGGCTGGAGGTCTGCCGTGTTTGGCCTGTGCATGGAGAAACCAAATGGTACCGATGACGCTACTCCCCGGAACTCTGACGGGGTGCGTTCTGAGCAGAATTCCGAGGCGAATCCAGCGGTGGCGACGAGGGTCTCCCAGGAGGCCCAAACAGGCGAAAACAAGGGAAGGGTAGCGGTATCGGTACCGTTCCTTTTCTGACTCCAGGGACTCTGTCTGGGCCCCCAGCCGCCAAGAGAACGATATCCCGCGGACGAAGGGCTGGTCGCGCGGAAGGGGAGGGGCCCCAAGCGGGGGGACAAGAGGCACGACAAGTCAGAGGCCCGGGGCTCTGTCATCGCTTTGGCAGGGATCCTCCTCCTCCTGCTTCTCTTCACCCTCCTTTTCCTCCTCCTCCTCCTCCTCCTCCTCCTCCCCCTCTTCCTCCTCCTCCTCTTTTCCTTATTCTGCTCCTCCTCATCCTCCTGCTCGTGCTCCTCATCCTCATCCTGCTTATCCTCCTCGTCCTCCTCTTCCTCCTCCTCTTCCTCGTCCTCCTCCTCTTCCTTCTCCTCCTCCTCCCATCCTCATCCTCCAATCCTCCTCCTCCTCCTCCCCTCCTCCTCCTCCTCCTCCTCCTCCTCCTCCTCCTTATCCCCCCTTCTCCTCCTTCTCCTCCTCCTCCTCCTCCTTGTCCTGCTCCTGCTCCTCCCCCTGCTCCTCCTCCCCCCCTCTCTTCCTCCTACACCTTCTATCGTCGTCCTCCTCCTCCTCCTCCTCCATGATTGTTCCTTGTAGATAGATCCGCCCTGTTGCACCCCGAGGCCGGTCGAAAGGGTGGCCCGGCGGCTCGGTTGAGACTTCCCAACCAACTACGACCCTGATGCTTCACGTTTGACGACAGCTTTACCTATGGAGGGCGGGTGGTCTTCAAAATGTGGCTCTCGCCTTAGAGCCGCGTGCGCGTGGGCTCGCTTTAAAATTCTGCAAGTGGTTCACTGAGTGAGGGCGGGCCGTTTTCAGATTGTGGCTCTCGCCTTTGTGCCGCGCACATTTGTTCTAAAAGGTTCTAGGTGTTTTACGGGTTGAGGGCGTTCGTTTTCAACAAATGGTTTTCGCTGGACCGCCGCGCACATTCGCTTTCAACATCTGCAAGAACTTCACGGATTGAGGGCGGGTGGCTTAAAATGTGGTTCTCGCCACAGCGCGGCGCACATTCGTTTTCAAACTTTGCAAGAGTTTTACGGATTGCGGGTGGTTCGTTTCCAAACAATGACTCCCGCCTTAGCGCCGCGCGCATTCGTTTTATCAAGTCGCAAGAGCTTCACGGATTGAGGGCGGTTCGTTTTCGAAGTGTGTCTCTCGACTTAGCGCCGCGCACATTCGTAGTCACATTCGCAAGAGCTTCACATATTGAGTGGGGGGCGTTTTGAAAATGTGGTTCTCGCTTCAGCGCCGCTCACCTTCGTTTGAACCAATTGCAGCAGTTTAGCTCATCGAAGGCGGGTCGTTTTCAAATTGTGGTTCTCGCTTCAGCGCCGCGCATTTCCGTGGTAAACATGTACATCCGTTTCGCTGCTTCCCATTGTTGAACCACCAGAACTAATGTGCTGGAACGGCTCAGGATTGTGTAGAAGTCCCAGGAATGGTGTTCTGGCATGATTCAGGGTCGCCCGTAACAGTCAAGTCAACTCGTGGCGTTGGAGGTCCGGGAATGGTGTTTTTGCACGCTTCAAGATGTTCACACGGTTGTCCCCCAACGGGGCAATTCCCCCAGTGTAAATGACCCCTTGTAGGGGCCTATGAAGATGGATCTTGAGAATGGTATAGATCAACATCGTTAATGAGTCTTGGGTTTATACTGGTCCTCCTTCTCCTCCCCCTCGTCCTCCTCCTCCTCCTCATCGTCCTCCTCCTCCTCATCGTCCTTTTCCTACTCCTTCTGCTTCTCCTCCACCTTCTTCTCCTCCTCCTCCTCCTTCTCCTCCATCCTCCTCCCTTCTCCTCCTCTTCCTCCTCCTCCTCCTCCTTCCTCCTCCCCATTCTCCTCCTCCTTCTCCTCCTCCTCCTTCTCCTCTCTCCCTCCTTCCTCTCCTCCTCCTCCTCTCTCCTCCTCCTCCTTCTCTTCCTCCCCCTCCTTCCTCCTCCTCCCCTCCCCTCCTCCTCCTCATCCTCATTCTTCCTCCTCCTCCTCCTCCTCTCCTCCTTCCTCTCCTCCTCCTCCTCCCCCTCCCCTCTTCTCCTCCTCTCCTCCTCAGCCTACTCCTATCCTCCTCCTCCCCCCTCCCACTCCTCCTCCTCTCCTCCTCCTCCTCTCCTCCTCCTCATTCCTCCTCCTCCTCCTCCTCCTCCTCCTCCTCCTCCTCCTCTTCCTCCTCCTCCTCCTCCTCGCGAGGTGTGCGCTCCCCGCGTGTTCGAACCGATCTACAACATGGAGGCCTTGCACCTCAACGGCTACAACCCGAACCTCGTGCCCGAGCAGAAAAGCGACGGCTCGATCACGTTGCCGGAGACCCTGAAGGACTACTACATGCGGCACGTCGAGGAGGGTCGGCGCAGAGGGGGTAGGGGGGGGCGACGAGGGACGAGGATCGAAAGGGTTTTTTTCCAAGGGGTCTTGCCGCCCTGCAGGAACGGCCCCCGAGTCCGAGCTTGGCCCACAGAAGGGCCGACAGGACTATCGCTGCCGTCGCGAGGCCCTCGGCCCCAGCTGGTGGGATGGACCTCGGCCCTCCAGGGAGCCTTCGAGGGGCCTCTCTTCTCCTCCCTCTCCGCCTCCTCCATCTTCGCTTCTCCAGCTCCCGCGGCTGCTTCTTCCGAGCCAGATCGGACTGCTCCCCAGGGCGCAGCCTGCTACCAGCTCTGCCGCCTTCTGCCACGGAATGCGCGGGTGTACTTGTGCTGCGTCGCGGTGGTCCCCGTCTTATTTCTCTGAAAGGGTCGAGGGTCCATTTCGATGCGGTCGATCCGATTCAGATTGATTCTGACTGGCCCGATACGATTCTATTCCGACGTTCCGACGACCCGACGCGGCCCGATGCTTACATGGCATTGCTGTGGCGCAGCCGATCCGAATCGATGTCGACTCCGTGCCGATGTTGACCGATCCGACGCACTTTCCGATTCAGTCCGAGTTCCCGATCCGATGCTGACTGCTCCTGGAGTAGTCTGCTCACCCGTCCCCCCCTTCCCTCTTCTCCTCGCCTTCGCTCGCATAACTGTCTTGTCGCCGTCGTCGCCGGCGTCGCTGCGGGTGTCCCGTCGGTCGTCTGTCGTGCTGTCGCCGCCGTCGCCGTCTCGCCCGCTGGCGTCGCCATCGTCGTTGGTAGCCGCCTGTTCTTCACTTTTCCTGAAACTCGTGCCCCTACGCGGGCGCTCGCGCGAGGCCAACCTAGAATGAGGTCGGGCATGTCCTCCTACAGGCGGATTTTGGACGACAGATAAGACAGAGTCAAACATAAGACCGAGAGGCGCCACCATTTTCTGCTCTTCTCGAATACTCCTCCTGTAGAGGGACATGCCCGACTGGAACCCAGAATCCTAGGAGCCCTCGCCTCCATCCCCAGCCCTCCGGCGCCGTGCCCTACCCAACGACGTGGGCACGCGCAAGACCAGCCCCCCCCCCCCCGCTCCTGGGGGGCCAGCGCTTCCCCCTGAGCCCTTTTTTGGGGGAGGGTGCCCAGCGATCGTGGGCGGGCAACGTGCCCATATCCACAGCCTCGCGGGCCGCGCCCCCGGGCCGCGGCCCCATGGACGCGGGGCGTTTTTCTCCCGCGGGTGCCCCGCGCGGGGCGTGTCCGTGCGGCTGCGTATCCACGGGAGCGCGCCCTGGAATCCAGACCGCCAGGGCATGGACCTTGGCATCGCTCGGACGTGTGCATTTTTCCTTCGGCGAGGACCGTCGAGGAGCATCCTTGATCATGTGGCGAAAAAAACGCACGAAACCGGACAAAAAAAACAAGGAATGGACGTCCGAGCGATGGCGAGGGTCGTGGACGTGTCGTATGCCCGCTGCACGTGGAGCGAGGGCCCCCGACGCGCGGGGACCGCCAAAGGCATGCTGCTGTTCCTCTGCGGCGCGAGGGCGCCACGACGCTGGAGCAGGGGCCACCTCGGGTCGGGCCCCGCGCTGCTCGGCGCCCCTCGTGGCAGCACGACGATTTGGCAGCTGCGCACGCCCTTCGACGAGGAGGAGGGGGAGGAGGAGGAGGAGGAGGAGGAGGAGGAGGGAGGAGGAGGAGGGGGAGGAGGAGAAGGGGGAGAAGGGGTGAGGAGGGAGGAGGTGGAGGGAGGAGAGAAAGGGGAGGAGGGAGGAGGGGGAGGAGGAGGACGGGAGGGGGGAGGGAGAGGGAGCTGAAACTGGAGGAGGAGCAGGAGCTGCCACCAGGGCAGGGGCCCCGGCCCCCGCGCTGCTCTTCCGATCTGGGTCGGGGGGCCTGCTCGTGGCCGAGGCTCGCCGTTGCGGGCAACAAGCAACTCTTCACTTCGCTCCTGTCAGGTGCGGGCCTGGGCGCCTCAGGGGCCTCTCCGCCTCCTCC